CCCTCGAGAATAAATATAGCTGAGCCTAGTCCCATACGAGTGCTTGCGGTCCTCCCTCATCCGAATTTTCTTTTTGCTTTATCGAAGTTTTGGGACGAGACACTCGTGCTACTCTTCTTTTCTTTCGGGATTTCCCCAGGAGTTTTGAGGATTTTTCTTTCACTTGAGTCTCTTTCGTTGATTTTCTCGGGTTTTCCGCTTTTCCTTGGATTTCCTGGATGACGTTTTCTTCCAGATTTTGTTTTTGAGATGCATCTAGGTTTGCTATGCTTAAGGAATATCGGATCTCACGGGCGTACAAGTTTGCTTTATATTTTACAACACTTAATTTTCCTGTTTCTACCTGCTGTTGTTATTTTTGTATAGTATGTTATAATTTTCCTGTAAAGCATGTCATATTACTCATGTTTCCACTTGTTACTGTTCTCCCTGTATAGCATGTTACACTTGTCATGTTTCTACCTGCTACTGTCTTTCATGTATAGCATGTTGTATTGCTCCTGTTTTTGCCTACTACTGTTCCACTTGCATGCTACTGTTCGTTCCTACATCGCGCATTTTACATCTTATAACTTTAAACATGTTTACCTTTTTTTTACATAGGATGTTTAGAGGACTACAACCGTAGGACCGTTTGATTTGATACTATAACTGGACACCCTAGGAAACTTAAACTCATCACGTCGAGGAGCTTGGAGCTAGCGCAGTGGGCAGCACGGCCATCTTCAACAGCAGAACATGTCTTCCCCGCAAATATAAGCCCTAATTAAATAAAATTGGCGGGATAAAACACTTTAATAATTTCTTCTCAAAATTGGAGCCAAATCATAGGATAGACTGGGAAGTCACTGAGGTTCTCCTCAGGATCTGTGGCCTCCCCTAGTTTCTCTTCATTTGGATTCCTCAACAATGTTCCAGATTTGAGCCTTTCCCCTTTCACATCTTCTTCGTTCGATTTCGTTGAAAATTCCTATCCTTTTGACCTCTTTGAAGACATTATCCCCTGATTTTTATCGAGAGTTTTCTTAGGTGACTTCGGTCATTTAAGATGTAATTAACTATAGGGGCTTGCCCTTATAGGGAGCTTTTCCGAACCCAGCTTAAAATAAACCCTATTTAATTATTTGTATTAAATAGGGGAACTTGTCGGCAAATAAAACGGTTTTGCAGACCAAACGGATGTCATATTTTTCTTAGTTTATTTGATCGAGCCTCACCCTCAAGTCTTGTATTTATCCCTCGGGGTAGATATAAGATTTGAGGTATAGTGCTCTTCATTTAAACTATGAAAAATATGAGGTCAGTTTGATTTCATATTTTTCTAAAATTATAATTAAAACGTCCTTCCGAAGCGGGCGACGGGATTTCGATTCCGGCGACCGCCAGCTTCTTACGGGCAACCCCCCAAACTTTCTTTTAAACCCTTTCTTTTAAGTGCCGACAGACCATTAAGGACTTTTGATCTTTTATGTGGGGTCGGACCCCCAATAGGTGTGTTGGTGGACTAGTTCCACCTGGGCGTTGTGTGTTGTGAAGTCGGTCCCGCACTTGGTCCCAAACTTTGCTTCCCTTTTTTGTGTCTTTCGAGTTTGATTTGCTATTTCGCAAGTTGAATCGAATTGTGTCTTGCTGCGCTTGCTTTTTAATTTTATTTATATTAATCAAGCGTTCATACTTTTTTTCACTAAAATCTTAAAATCTTCACCGATTAAATAAAATTTACCTGGTTTACAGATCTACCTCCGTCAATTTGTAGTGCTCGCGCTATGATTATCAGACATTGGCCAAATAACTAACCCTAGGGTTTTCTCTTTTGAAGTTTTTGCGATGGCGTTTCCGGCGCTCACCTTTTCCTACAACTTACCAACGAGCCGTAACTCCCGTATAGTTACCCCCATCTTTAAGTTTGGGGCAGGATTTGAGGATCTCGAGGTCATCCTCGGGAAAGCCCCGTTCGTGGTCGTGAAAGTCTCCACCCCAGAAGTTCAAGAACCGTTTGCTGAGTTTAACCTGAATTGCCTACAGGATTTCCCTTCTTACAAGAAGGAAAAGACTATTACCACCACGATGTCTACTAAGCCTGACTTTCCCGCTCTTGCTAAGGGAAAAGAGGTTATGATCTTCGATAGTCCAAGTGAGGAGTTCACCGTCCCGCCGTCAGTGTTCGAAATTGGGTCGAGTTCGGAAGTTGCGCCGTTAACACGGTCACAAAAGAGAAACCGTAGCCGAAAAGTTCGCAAAACTGCTGAGGTTCAGATTTCTGAAGATATGACTGTTGATGAAATTCCTCATTAGGAGGAATCAGGATTGTTGGATACCTCTCCGCTTTTGCGAGGGAGTAGGTTCCACCCCCACCCCTTAGTGTAGGTTCCACCCCTTAGTAAATACCGATGGACATGAAAGTATCCGGAAGATTGTTGCTGCTTTACCGTTAGCTCATGGACATGGTGGAAAGAGGAAGAAGTCTACTCCTCTCACTAGAGTCAGTACAGTGTTTCGGAGACTAGCTGCCAAAGAGGGTTGTTCAGTCAGTGAATTGCTTAAGTGGATGGGATGTGCAGTCTCCCCTCGCGTGAAGAAAGAAATACTAAAGGACGTCAGATCTTTTGAAGGATTACCTTCTCGCATTCTCGTCAAGTGCTTTTTCGGGAACAAAATTGACACTATCACCACCACTGGGTTCGCAGGCTGTCGATCGATTAAGTCACGACCGGGTCCGAGAGTTTTACTGATTACCAACCATAAAGATGTTCCTAAGACCTCAAAGGAAAGGATAAGCAGGTTGCCTAGTACTGTATCCGGTCTTCATCATGGGGAGCATGCCTCTCTTCGACATGCCAATGTTTCTGTTGAGACACCCCGTCTCAAAACATCACCATCAAGAAAAGAGGTGTGGATACCCAGGGTTGTTGCACCAATACGATCTAGTGAGCCTATGAGTCAAAATTATAGCATAAAACAGAGATCTGAAGTACCCGACATGATAACAACAACAACAGTTGAAGAAGGTGCATAGATAGAAGATGTTCAAATGTTCAACAGAAGCCTCCGCTCCGGACCTCAAAGTGATACGAGGGGCAATAATTGAAAAAAAGGTCGAAAGACTTGGGGCCGAGATTTCGGAACTAGCTCGAGAACGTGGAATTCCCGTTGTTGATGAAGATAAAAACTCTGAAGAATACCTTGAGGAAGACTGTATGAATATTAATGTCATCGAAACCAGAGCAGTTACATCTCCGCGTGACGCTCAACCTCCCACTAAAGAGAATGTCTTAGATGAGCTGCGTAGGGCTCTCTTCCTGAGAGATGAAGAAATCAGCCAAATGAAAAATAGAATGGAAGAAATGGCCGCTGTCATGACTCCTATGACTGCAGCTCAGGGACAATCTCAAACACAACAGTTAGCTTCTCCAGAAGTCAATCAACTAGAAATTATATAGATCGTAGATGAGAGGAGGGAAGTCGCCTCAGCTAACAGACATGATTTACAAAAGAGGGACTCTACTCAAAGCGTCATATCAGAAAATGATTTTAAGCAAATGGTCGAACAGGTTCGGGAGGCCTTGGCCCAATCTAAGGGTGGTGCATTGGTTTTAAAGGGTAGACCCTACCCGGAGGAATTCGATGCCGTATCCTACCCTAAGAGTTTTGTGACACTGAACTTTAATATTCAACGGGATTGGAAACCCCAGTCAACACACCCCTACCTATATATATATATAGTGTTTTCTTAACATGATATGCTTTAACCATTAAAGATCAATTTTTATTCTGATAATTTGGTTTAATCATATCTTACTTTTCATTTCCTTCAATCAACGAGGTCTCGAGTTTGTCTGGTTAATGCTAACTGTTGTGCATTTTAATCCATGTTGAACTCTGCTGTATTTTTTTGGTCATTAGACTTATATTATTCTTATATATTTTCATCGTAATCCTTGGTGACCGTTCAAGGGATTGCCTGGACAACTCTTGCTCATGTCTTTTCACCGTTGGTTTTAAGCTCTCCTGCAATGGAATGCCTTTACAATTAGATCTTCCTGGCACTGATGCTTGCCATTGTTTAAAATTTTGGAAAGCTAATTACTAACAAACTAAAATTTAGATACATCCTTTGTGTATATTATGTTTAAACATATATTTTGAAAGAGCTGAGAGGCCTTGATAAGTAATACTGGTGTCAAACATTTAGTCTATTTGATCGTGTGTTGAAGTTGGTTCGTTTTTGGGCCGTGGCACTCTTTCATGAGAATGAACATCATCACTGATTAAAAGTGAATATCGAACTTCTAGATGAGCTATTTTCTTTCTAAATGACTGGTTCTTATGTGAGGAGAATTGAGATTGGAGTTATTTTTCAGCTTTGTTAACCAGGAACATATGGTCTAATGTTATGACTTCTGAACTTCTTTTTTTTTTTTTTGATATCTTGTACACTTTATGCTTTCTTTTTCCCTTTTTTACATGCAATTTGTAGTGCATATCTATTGGCTATCTTTTTTACTTTAAAGAACTTTGGTACTTGATGTGGCTTACCACATGTCCGTAACCAAGGGGTAATCATTGTCTGATTTTCATTTAATGAGAAGGCATTAATGACAAATTTTGTTTCTTGTTTTATGCTTTCTGTATTTTTTTCTCTTTTGAAAATGCATTTGTTCCATGCCTCTATTCTTACTATTTCTATCTTGTCTGAGCTTATAGTTTAATCAAGTCTACTTTCATTGGGCTTGTCTGCTCTTTCATATATTACCACTTTGTATTCTATTAAATATGAAATATGGATTATTGAATAGTATAAGAACGAGAAATGAGGTGGTGAAGAATTTTTCAATCGTAGTTGGTTTACATGAAGTATTTATTTTAATATTCATTAAGGAGACTCATAAATGGGCATTAATTGCAAGGTATTTTTGTGTATGCTTTTTGTAGATGGCATAATTTCACTAGTGAACCCTTGGTGAAGCAAGTGAAAAGGTTGGTTTATGTAGAAAATGTTTAGAAGATAATGACATGATTACTAGAACAAGGATATAGAGTATCTTATATTTGCCGCGTATCCCGACCTGTTGGTTGGCATCCACGTTATTAGACCCTTCAAGTTGAGGGTTTGAATTTCCTTTGGCACAGTTGGCTTTAAGGAGGCGGTACTCGAATTGTTAGGCACATTAGGTGTGGCTGGAGACTCGTATAATAGCCTTCGGCCATATCTTTTTGAGGAAAAAATATGATAGAGTATCTTATATATAATTTTGTTGGGTGATAATATTTTTTTTCGACAAATATTAGCAAAAAATATAGTGATATATAGATGTGATATTTAAACATCTTATCTATTTAAAATAAGACGAGGTTAGAGATGATAATATAATATAATTTATAGATGCTTGACAATAAAGGGTGCATCAAGAATATAACATGATGGTTTAAAGGTAAATTTCATAAAAATTAAGTATGTCAATTATGCGGTTTGGATTTGAGTTTTTGATAATAAAGAAGTCCTTGATAGACAAGTTGACTGTAATAAAAATAAGATTTTTAAGATAAACTTACAGTTTAGAAACATTTAGCTGTCCACAAATATTTGGGATAAGGATAATATTGTTGTTGCTATTATTGATGTTGCTGACTATGAGAATGAGACACGTATATTATAAAAATTGCGTAAGTAGTATTTTTTGAAGATTTAGGGTGCGTTTGGGGCAGCTTGTGCTTATCCTGAAACGCGGCTCGTAGTTTTTGACATGCGACCAGTTTTTAGTGTAAAAACTCAACCGTGTTTTCGGATAAGCTGCCGAAACATGTTTTCCTAACAATGAGGCGGCGTTTTGGAAACGCCGCCCGCACTTATAAGCTGCCCCACACGGGCCCTTAGTAGAATATGATAAGGCTGTTTGAGCATTCTCAACAAAAGATAGAAGATACACCAATTTTACAACTAGAGAAAAATCAATGTCAAAGGATTAAGGACAAAATGGGGTGGACCTAAAGTAACTTAGATGGTTCTATGCAAGAAGATGTTTTTGGAAAATGAGCTTAATACCTCATGCACCACTTTTCAGGGCAAATAGAGGAGGTTTCTAAAGCTGACCACAAATAGTGGTGATAAGGCCATGTTGATAATATACATGCTTTTCTGCATTGTTTAACAGATTGACCAATTCTATTTAACAATAATTTCTTTTCTTTTGAAATCTGATCCTGCATGCAGAGATATAGGGACTGCTTCATATCACAAAGAGTGCCAGTCTACTTCGGGAAGCTCAAAGGTTGCAGGGTATTTTTCTTCTCTTGCTGATCCTCCAACTCCGGGGGATACTATTGCTCGAGCCTCGCATTCCAGTTATTTAACTGCTAAGCCAGGGAGCGTAATACATGAACTGGCATCCCCAAAGCTCAAGGTTGGTAAATCCGACACCACAGTATTGAAGGGCCATGAACTGCAGTCCAATTTGAGTGTCAAAGAGCTGGATGTGGTATCTAGGAAAGCTGAAGATTTTGGTAGTATTGTGTCCATGGATTTTTTATCATCAGGTTAGAATAATTTGCTATGAATGACCATTTCACTTAATTTTTCTACAGTAACTTAACATATTTTTCTTGTGAATTTTAGAAACTCCAACATCTTCACGCACTGCTGAGCCAGTTTGGCCATACAAAAAATCAGAGAGTGGACCACAACCATTAAGCCATGGAATTATGCCATATGTTCATGGTGGATCTATGATTCCCCCGCCAATACATTCTTCTTCTTCTATTCGCCCTTTCTATAGCTCAAATACTACCTGGGACAATCCTTCTCATAACCCTTCCTATATGCTTCCCCAGGATAGGCGACATCTTAGTTCTCAAACACCTCTTCCCTTTATACCCTCTTCAATAACTCCACTCTCTCAAATCCCCCCTGCTGGTTCTATTCAAAGATTTGACCAAGTAGTCAACACGCCATATTTGCCACCTTCAATGCCACCACCTCCACCACCACCTGATGCCCCACCTTCATTACCTTCTTCCCCACCACCACCGCCTCCTTCTCAGCCTCCTCTGATTCCTCCTCCTCCAACTTCCCCTCCACCAATTTCTCAACCAATTCACGAAACTACCAAATTACGATCTGGAAAATCAGCTTTACAACATCAGTGGCAAGGCACTCTTTCTAAAAGTGGGGTTCACTACTGCTCATTATATGCAACCAGGGAAGTTTCTCTTGCTTGCAAATATTTAAATGCTGCGCCTGAACCTGCAGAGTAAGAAATAGATATTGTATAAAGGAAAACAAATGTAATACAATTTTTATTGGCTGCTCAACTAATATTTCTATGTAATATTTCAGGTGGCCTTCAAGATTTGATGTAACAAAAAGAACAGACTATCACCATGTGAGGACTACGTTTGGCAATACTCCGCCTCATAGAGTAAGTTTCTGGATTTTCTGTTTTACTGATGCCTAGTGGTTGCCTTATTTTGTTTTTTTTTTCATTGAAACACTGAGAATGAGGTGGGCAGTGGAAAAAGGCGATTGTGGTCATGGGATTTGATCAAGGATGGAAGTTAAAATGATAAACTAAATTTTGATTTTGTACACGGCTCTAAATCATACCCATCTGTTTATACTTGTATAAATAGTATTTAAATCATATGGTGCCTTGCAAATTATTTATTGTTAATAATCTATCTATAGGTACTCCTCAGGTTGGTTTCATAGAATAACAGAGTGCCTTGTTTGATGAAGATGGGCAATTTCGAATAATAATGCCGTTTTTCATGAGATATTCGGAAGGATACTTCTGTTCTTTAGCAGCATTGATTATCTTTGACATGCAGGCGTAATACTGCATTGATGTCAATTTTTTATCTTTAGAGGTGTTTTGTCACATTAAGTCACATTCCCTGCATTTTAGGAATTGATTAGACTTTTGGTGTTCCAACTGCTTGAAGTTGTTTATTTGAATATAGAGATGTGGTAATATAACCTAAATTGTTTGCTATTATTTTATCAATGTGAAATGCGACAGTTTTGTTGCAAAGCATGGTGGTGGTTGTGACTGCGTAATGGGGCTGCAGGCTTCTAATTGCATCTTAAGTAATTCTTTGCACCTATTTGTTGCTTATGAAAACATAAATTATTAACTTGCATTAAGTTTTTTATTCATGCCTTTTGATGCTGGATGTTTTAGGGTTTACTAATACAAGCTTATGATGAGATTCACCAAAAAAAAAAAATGCAAATAAAAGCTCACAATCACAATTCAAAGTTTCTCTACATTTAATTTAAATAAAGATTAATCTCTTTTCAAGAAAAATGAGAAAGTATGCTTCGTTTGCTCCAAATGATAATAGAAATTTGTGAAAGCATAAAATTTGCAATGATTAAGAATAATTAATTAGGTCATAAAAATGAAATTAGTTTGCATCAAACTTGATAAGATCTTTAGCACACATTTTGTGGACTTAATATTTAGTTGATATAATTATCATTTTCTTTTTCCCTTGAGATATCCTTTTGTGTGGAAAATTTGATGGACATTTTTTGGTTGGCTGCTGTCAGCCCTGTATATTATCATCTTGGCTAAAAAGTTGCAGTTTTGTGTTTATGCGTCCATCTATGATAGAATTTCTACCATCCCACATTGTGTCGTGCGGCTCTGGCCAATAATCCCTAGTCCTGTATATTCCTCAGATAAAAAGTTCATTCGTCAATTAATATCTCGATATAATTTTATCTGATGTTGTAAATATTTGTGGATAAATCCTTGGTTTTTTATCTGATAATTTGTTAAGTGTTGTCATCATTCCTTTTGTGCTATTTTTATTGTTGATGTTTATCTGCATTATTTTCTGCTGAGTTATTTGTTTAATATATGCTGCAGAGAGAAGTCTGTCGATTGCTGCCATCTACTGCAAGTGATCAGAAAGGGGTAAGCATTCTAATGCCAGACTGTTTATTCAATCCATAAAGGTGCACTATGGTTTCTCTGTTTCTAACATAATCCGAAATTGGATAAATAATTGTTAATAGATTAGGAGAGTGAATACCATAGATACTGCCTTGTCTTTTCATTATCCCATCCAATCAATGCAATTAATTTGCATACCATGAATTTGAAATATTGTATTTCATTCAGTATTGGGTCATTTACAACATAACTTTGTGAGAAAGCTATCACTAGTTAGTTTGTCCACTTTGATGTCGCCTTTGGGGAAATCTTGCTATAATACCAAATGAAGGAGAGGAATGTGGGCTAAGAAAAATGCAAATGAAAAAAGTGATACAAACGCAATATGAAAATGCAAAATGGAAATATATGAAAATCGTTAGACTCGTTAGCAAGAAAAATATCACAGTAACAGAATCATGGAGATGCATTATAGTGATGAGGGATTCACTATGATGAGTCTATAGGATGTGGCAGGTGATTGGGATGAGGTTTTGGGGTTACAATGAGGTCTCGAGGTGCATAGAGGTGGGTGGGAAGGCAGGAGGATAGATTTTGAAATGTTTTGAAGAAGCTTACAAAGAAATCGACTTCCTTTACACGGCGTGACGTGATTGAGATGGATAATTCTGAAACATAAAAAGTTTCCAAATGAAGGAAAAATAGTAAACAAAATTGAAAAAAATATAAATATAAATATAAATAAACCCAACCTCACTAAAGCAAGAGGATATACTAGAGTTACCAAGCCAACTTCAAGGAAATTGCCACCAAGCTAATTCCAAAAGGATACAAATTTTCAAAATGATTTAAAGATTTCAATCAAGCCACTTCCGAAAGTATAAACATTTAAAAAAAAAAAAATCAATTCATAATAATCTAATATTACATGTTGTGTTTATGCATATAATCAACGTTTGAATACATTGGATATTAAAAAAACCAAAAGACATAACAATAGAGAGGATTGGCCCAAAGGGATATATCTTCTGGTAGGATTCTTCAAGTGTTAGCATTCAATTGGAACCTTTAAAAGACACGTTACAACTCTTCATGCACACATCAAGACATCAAAATGGAACCTTGCGAAAGAGAGTTGGCCTTGACTGGTCATGTTGATGTGTCAATGATTTTGACAATGACTTTGCTTGCTTGTACTAGAATTTGCTAGTTTGCATGATCACCTTTTGTGTGGTTAATGATATATTGTTACATCATTTTAATCATCATATTAATTTAATAAAATAAAAATGAAACTAATAACTATTTTATAATTTTAAAAATGATATTTATAATAGATTAGATATTAAAGAGGGTAAAAATATATGTATAAACTAGTCAAATAAAGAGAAAAGAAATGTAATGATTTAACACAAGTAAAGTGTATTAAAAATGGAAATCAAAAGGTGTTTTTCTTAGAAAAAGATATTCAACATAGGCGAGTGTTATCTTGATAAATTTTTTAATGCCGAGTAGGTCTAGTATGAAAGCTATACATTTACCGAGAGGTTTGGTGGAGAAGTACAGAGAGAATAAGGAGGATCTACATAAGGAGGATCTACATTTGATTTTTATTGATTTAGAACTTGATTTAGAACAAACTTACGATAAGGTTCCAAGGGATATCTTTTGGAGAGTTCTAGAGAAGAAAGGTGTTGATATAACTTATAGTCAAGTCATTAGAGATATATATACTAGAGCTGTTGCTTTTGTTCTAACAGAAGGAGGATTGACCAATTATTTTCCTATTTCAGTCGGATTACATCAGAGATTGGCTTTAAGCACATATCTTTTTGCTTTAGTTATGGATGCTCTTACTGGACATTTACAGGAGGATGTACCTTTGTATGTGTTTTTCGCCGATGATACTCTTCTTGTGGATAAGACTAGAGAAAAAGCTAAGGAAAAATTGAATTATGGAGGTCTAATTGGAGTCTAAAGGCCTTCACTTGAGTTGAACTAAAACTGAATACATGGAATGTAATGTTAGTAGTAGTAGCTCTAGTAACAATTGTAACTATGGGTGATTAAATTATTAAAAAGTGTGAACGCTTTAGATATCTTGGGTCTATTGTTTAAAGTGATGGTGATATAGATGGGAAAGTTATGAGTAGAATTTAAGTTGGTTGGTTGAATTGGAGGAATGCTTCGGGCCAATTGTGTGATAGAAAAGTTCTGTTTAGATTGAAAGGAAAATTTTATAAGATGGTGGTGAGCCTTGCAATGCTCTATGACTCAAAATGTTGGACTTTAAAAGAGAAGCATAAAACTAAGTTAAGCGTTGCCGAGATGACAATGCTTAGGTGGATGAGTGCCTTTACACTTAGAAACAATGCGAAATGAATATATTCGTGGGGTTGGTGTAGCTCCTGTGGCGGGCAAAATTAGAGAGAGTCGTCTTAGGTGGTTTGGTCACATTAAACGTCGACCATGTGATGAGAGTAGATGTTTTAGATTTGACTTAAGTTAGGAAAGGCAGAGGTAGATCTAGAAAGATTTGGGCATATTATATTAAAATGATGTTAATTTATAGAATTAAATGAAAGTATGACACTCAACAGGATGTAATGGAGAAAAAGGATTCATGTAGTCGACCCCACTTGATGGGATAAAGGCTTGTTGTTATTGTTGTATGAACTATGTTACATCAATTCTCTAGATCCTAAAAAACTCTTCTATGAAGAGTTAGAAACTCAGTAAATGCATCAAAGGAGCCAACTTTATTTCTACCAAAGTGATGGAGTCTCTTGAGCTAGAACTAATCCTATGAAAATTAATAATTGCAAAGGAGGATCTATCTCTTTTGCAATTGGGTGAACTTCCATAACTTAATTAATCTTTTAGGATGTAAAATATCAAATGCATTGAGAATTAGAAAGCTAAACATTTCAAGAGGTAAATTCATATAATTCTTCATATATTCAAGTAGACAATTTATTATGAATATAAATCATTAAAAACTTAACATCAATGAGGCTAAAAGTTTTGAACATGCACTTGAATATGAAACAAACTATGAATAAATGATAATGCGTGTACATGCAAAGAATGAGGCATGATTAGAAGTAGGTCAAATGACATATAAAAAAATCGTATGCTTGATGTTTGACATGCTTCACGAAGGATAGTTTGCACAAATATATCATAAAAAGAAGTCTCATTGAGATCAATAAATTCATCTTTAATGGACTAAATAACTTGGAAATGTATAGAAGATGCATCTAAACTGGCAGATTGCTTATGATGATTAATAATATGCACTATAGGGTGATCAATTTTCATCACATTAAATGATTCCAAATTATGATAAGAAATAGACTTTGAAGAAGATATGTACTTAATGAAAGCTGAGATGACAATAGTAATCTTATAATTAAGAGTACAATGATCCATCTTGAATCTCTTCTAACTTAGAAATAAACTTTGTTTTTTTTTTGTGCTGTTAGTTTTTTAGAAAGTTCTATTTTTAGTATTTTCTAACTTTAGTAACTCCTATTCTTAGAATTTTCTATTATTGGTAATTTGTGATTTCTGTCTTTGCTTAGTATGGAGATTTGGTGCCTAGTTTAGTGACTTTCTTAAGTTGGTGACCTTTGATGCCGCGGTGTTGTGAAGCACACATCAACTATGCAAGTATACATGTCGGTGAAGTAGTGTATGAATTTTTGAGTCAATGTATCAATACTATGAAGAACTTGTAAAAATGTGAATGTTTTAGTTTATTAGTCTTAGGTCTAGGTTGAAGTGTCGAAATTTTGTGAATTTTAAGGTTTTTTGTGAATTTTAAGGTTTTTTGTGAATTTTAAGGTATCTAAAATCCAAATTTTGCAGAAGTAAAATTCTAAGGAATGAGGTTAGAGTTTTTTATCAAGTGAGAGAAACTCCCTTGAATTAGACCTTAGAAACTTAAAGTTATCCAACTCATACAAATGCTGTTGAAAATCACGAATAGTTATACCTGGTCACTTCCAATGTCATAAGAAGTTTTGGAGTTTCATATTACAATTTAGCCTCCTTAATCATGCAAAAGCTCCTAGTGTTTCGCGCTTTCTTTTTGATTGCACTATTCTATCAACAATATTTATATTTTTCTAGAACAGTTTATCTTAACTTAATTGTTCCACTAGCCTTCTTTCATATTGCTATATCACCTCTTTTAATATTCCAATTGACCAATCGGAAGCAAATGAAGCTTGCAAAGTTAACATTTCAATATTCTTAAATAAATTTCTCTAAATCACATTTTGTGGATATCACTAGGTTTCCTAGATTCCCAATCCAATAAAGAAATAGGAATGCCTAACCGTAAGGAATGGGCGTCAGGTTTCTGGTTGCTCTATAATTTGGTAAAATTGGGTATGATTCAGGTGCCTAAGCGCTAGGGGCAAGCACATACTTTTCGTCCTTTCAGGTACATTGGTGAAATGGGGAGTTGGCTAGGGCGCCTAGGCGTTGGTTTGACACTTGGCATGATTTTGCTCCTCTTTGCTCCATTTGTTATCTTCTAACCTTTATACTGTAGAAACAAATCAAAACATCTGGAAAAATATAAAAATGACACATATTAGAGAATTATTAGGATAAAATACAACACATTTACTATAGATCAAATTCTCTCAAAATTAAGCATTAATTACCCTCAAATAATTCAATGCCTAAATTTATAATTTCCTTGGAAATTCATGAGAGATATAGGCTTAAGTTTACAGTGTTCTTTAGTAATTAGATAAATAAATAATTTAGGGGACACAATCTCTTTCTAAGAATGAATTTTTTTAGAACACTTATAATATCCCAACGTAATTTGTATTAATACAATATATATATATATATATATATAAAATTAAAAACGAATAATCAACTAACTAATGCTAATTCAATTATTATCATTTTGATTGCAAAATTCTGAATTTAGAGTTAAGGAGTTTTTTGATTCTCTAATTTTTAGAGAGTGAGATTAATAACAATATTTTAATTTAAGT